CAGACACAGACACAGACACAGACACAGACACAGACACAGACACAGACACACAGACACAGACACAGACACAGACACAGACACAGACACAGACACAGACACAGACACAGACACAGACACAGACACAGACACAGACACACACACACACACACCTTGAGACGACCAACAAACAAAAAGAAACCAAACATGCTTGCTTTGCATTATTGGGAAACGTGTGAAAACCACAGAAATAAACCAAGAATACAGACCCCATGTCCCAGCTCCGGCAATCGCTCCCAAATGGGGCTTGTAATTTTGTTTTTGTTTGGTTGTTCTTTTACTATTATTTTCATTATTATTAAAATGAACTTGATTGACAATTGTTCTCTACGTAGTTGCGCAGCAGACGCAAATACACAGACAGATGCGCACTCTTAGATCTTCACCTTCCAGATGCCCTATCTTCCTGAACAACCGCACGCTTTGGGCAACGCGTTCTGTTTTTTTGTGGGAGACCCCCCCCATTTTTCTTCTTCCCGACAATAACGAGGCCAATGCCAGGTTTTTGAGTCGCAGCCAACGGCTGGGTGTTCCTCGTGGTTCCCCCCCCCCCCCAAACGTTCTATTTTTTGCGAGCCCCCCCCCCAAAAAAGAGGCTGGGTTTTCCTTGTGATTTCCTTTCACAGCGAAAGCGTTTTCCGCTGCCCGTTCGGCAGGCAGCTGATCCTCCAGGAGAGGGACAAGGCTCGCAACCGCCGCGCCATGGCGGAGGCGATGGCCAAGGAGCGGAACAACAAATTTCTGGGGGGGTTGAGATCAAAAGGTCCTTTAGGATGACATGTCCCACATGAAGGAAAGCTACCCATGGTCACTTCCTAGGTTGGATCGATCAAAAGGGGGTTGATGATCAACAGGTCCTTCAGGATGACCATTCGTTGGGAAACCACTAACAACAGATGCATATTTCCCACTAAGTGGGAAAAGCGACCCATGGTCATTTGGGGGCCAGGAGTTTGCCAGGGTGGTTGATCAAAAGGGGGTTAATCAAAAGGTCCCGTTGGTTGGGAAACCACCAAGTAAACAGATGTGGTATTTCCCAACGGGGAAAGTTATTCATGGTCATTTTGAGCCGAACGGAATACTGATCAACCCCCATGTGGAGGCTCGCCATTGCAAGGGGATTTGGGTTGCAGCCCGGGTGTGTCAAGCGGCGAAGCCGCGAAGCGCAGAAGCGCAATAAACCACAGAGAAGCCGAGAAGCGCAGAAGCGCAGAAGCGCAATAAACCGCAGAAGCCGAGAAGCGCAGAAGCGCAGAAGCGCAATAAACCGCAGAAGCCGAGAAGCGCAGAAGCGCAATAAATCGCAGAAGCCGAGAAGCGCAGAAGCGCCGACGGGGAGCGAGGCGCAGCAAAGCGCAGAAGCGCAGCACAGAACAAGCGGAGCAAAGCGCAGAAACAATGAAGCGAGCTAAAGTGCAGAAGCGCGCAACGCAAAAAAGCGTAGAAGCGCAACAGCGCGCAGAAGCGTAGAAGCGCAATTAAGCGCAGAAGCGTAGAAGCGCAATTAAGCGAAATTAAGCGCAGAAGCGTAGAAGCGCAATTAAGCGCAAAAGCGTAATCAAGCGCAGAAGCGCAGAAGCGCAATTAAGCGCAGAAGCGTAGAAGCGCAATTAAGCGCAGAAGCGCAAAGGCGCAATTACGCGTTGAAGCCCAATTAAGCGCAGAAGCGTAGAAGCGCAATGAAGCGCAGAAGCGCAAAAGCGCAATTAAGCGCAGAAGCGTAGAAGCGCATTTACGCGCAGAAGCGTAAAAGCGCAAGAAAGCGCAGAAGCGTGAATGCACACTGAAGCGTAGAAGCGCAGTAAAAGCGCAGAAGCGCAGCAGAGCTTCTAGGCTTCCAGGCGTGACTCGGCTTTAGGCTTCTAGGCTTGTGGGCCTCTCAGCGACGTAGACTTTGGCGGCTTCTATGCTTCAATCTTGAATGGCAGTTTTTGAAAGCAAGGGCGCGTGGGACTACAACACTGTGCGTGAATGGTTGCAAGTCGTCAAAAGAGGCCAAAAAGAAGTCGCGTTGGCAAGATTTTTGCCGAGAAGGGTAGTGAACTCCAGAAACGAAACCGTCTCCGCAAGTTCAAAGGCAGGACGGTGTTTGAGTGAGTCAGATGCTCGGGTATCAGTGTTTCCGTTGAGCAAGAAGCTGGCGCACTTGGTCCGCCTTTCCCTGGACTTTGAGGCTGTCGCAAAGTGGATCCAGCAGCGGCCAGAGCATCGAAGCGTATCGAGGTGTATATCGAGGTGTTCAATGGAACAATCCAAGATCATGCCCTTGCGCGTCCGCTCCATCACTGGTCACAATGACTGGGTGACAGAAGCGGTGGGATTCAACCACGCGCATCGCCCGCAATTATACCCGCTATACCCGTGACCATGCGAAGAATGGCGCCCGGCCTGGTTCTGTCTGCGTACCGCGCGTGCACGATGCAAGGTTTCTTTGACGTAGCACTCCGACTCGGGCGCGTGAGTGACTTCGGCGTACCTCCAATTTGTTGCCTTCTTCTTATTTGAGATGCTGCCAAAGACCACTTCGACCACGGGTCTCCCCGGGCTGCCGATGGACCACTCGGGCCCAATTCCAGTAGAGAGCGTAGCGGGCGGTTTCGAAGCGCAGCTCGATCTGCTTCCAAGGTTCTCATCAACCAAACCGGTACACTTCGTTGGCTTTCTGATCAGGAACGGACGCATCGTGTCGCTGCAAATCCCGCGCCCCAGGACTTGTACTGCCCATTCAATCACGATCAGTCGTCGCCATGAACGAGAAGAGCACAGGCGTGAGGTCCTTGCCGTCCTTGATGCCTTCGATACTGCCTGATCTTGTTGCGACGAAGGCTCACGTGCGTGCGGTTGGACCATATGAATTTAGGGCCGCGTAAATGATGACCTTGCTTGAAATCCAAGCTTAAGTGACAAGGGCCTCCCCGTCTCCGGGGCCTTATCGACATCAACCGCGATGTTGATAGGGCGGTCGGCCCTGGCCCCCCCGGCCTTGCGTTCAAGCCTGACCCAGGCACTACCGTTAGGTAGGCATGGCCGCGCGACGTGTCCTCGCACTCCCCGATAAATGTGCCCGTTTCAACTCATTGCTTCAATGCGACGTTCTGCAGGAGAAAATGCCGGACATCAAGAAAGTGGCACGTGTTGAAGAGATGGCCGTTCCCTGAATCATGGAGCAAATCGAAACCCAGATATTGACGCAGCGCATGGCCTCTTAGGAGCGGCCAAGGAGGCTTGGGCATTATGAAAGCTTGGTCTTGTGGGGCAGGGTTGCAAAAGTCTTTACGAGCGCCTCATCACCGACCCGTTTTCTGCCTACAGCGCTCCGCGGGGAGACCTGACGCCTTCTGCGCTTGAGTTTATCCAGAAAGTGGCCCGCTGTGTCACCCTGAGCTTTGAGCGCGCCTAAGGAGATGATTAAAGATGCCGTGCTGTTCCAAGGCACGCAGCACGGCTAGCGCTGGTGCCACCGCAGGAGGAAGTCGAGGAGATCAACCCCGACGATATGTGTGTCTGCCACGGCGGACGATTTTTGCAGACCAAGCAGTTTGTGGCATTATATGGCAACCTCGACCAGTGATGCCCATTCAGGTACTGGCAAGGCCCCTCTCCCCGGCGTTGTGGGTGTGACAAGGAGGCCTATCCCACACCTCTGGCAGTGGCAACCACACCTACTAGAGTGGCTGGAACCAATCGTGGGACTCATGGTGGGAAGATCAACAACCCTGGGCGCATCCCCTCAACTGGAACTGGCGCTGCTTTTCATCAGGATCTATGGCAGACATCAATTTACTTGTTCAAATCTCAATCCATTTCATTATTGTTCATATTTGCCGAAGATCCGATGTACAGGTGTAGGTGTTGCCTCGCGAGAGTGGAGACGGAAGATCTTAGCTGGCCTCTGCTTGATCATAAAGCGCCTATTCCCGTCAGGGCCTCATGCCGCTTGAGTTATTTTGGTTGTTTCTGATCCCTAAGACTTGTCCTCCTGTTTCACCGTCGGACACGGAGGGTGTATTTTCCTAAATGATGATTTATCAACCTGAATAGTCATTGCGCAATTAATCGTAGAGGCGTAGAAGCGCAGCAAAGCGTAGAAGCGCAGTAGAGCGATGTAAAGCGTAGAAGCGCAATAAACAGTAGAAGCGCAAAAATAAGCGCGTGCAAGCGCAATTAAGCGTAGAAGCATAGAAGCGCAATAAAGCGCAGAAGCGCAATATCGCAATAAAGCCCAGAAGCGTAGAAGCGCAATTAAGCGCAGAAGCGCAATTAAGCGCAAAAGCGCAATAAAGCTCAGAAGCGGAAAAGCGCAATACAGCGCAGAAGCGTAGAAGGGCAATTAAGCGCAGAAGCGCAATTAAGCCCAGAAGCGTAGAAGCGCAACTAAGTGCAGAAGCGCAATTAAGCGCAAAAGCGCAATTAAGCGCAGAAGCGCAAAAGCGCAATTACGCGCAGAAGCGTAGAAGCGTAATGAGGCGCAATAAAGCGTGAGCGTGTAAGTGCAGAAAAGTGCAAAGGCGCAGAAACGCAACAAAAATGATAAAGCATATAGGCTTGTAGGGCTTCTAGGCTTCTAGGCTTCTATTCGTGACGCCAGTATTAGGCTTCTAGGCTTCTAGGCTTCTAGGCTTCTAGGCTTCTCGGCTTCTAGGCGTGACGCCGGTATTAGGCTTCTAGGCTTCTAGGCGTGACGCCAGTGTTGGGCTTCTAGGCTTCTAGGCTTCTCGGCTTCTAGGCGTGACGCCGGTATTAGGCTTCTAGGCTTCTAGGCGTGACGCCAGAATTAGGCTTCTAGGCTTCTAGGCTTCTAGGCGTGATGCCAGTATTAGGCTTCTAGGCTTCTAGGCTTCTAGGCGTTACGCTACCCAAACCCCCCTACTCTCGAGGATTGGTTTTGACCCCTGTGCCGCTTGATATGAAGGGGGAAGCCTTAGTTGGTTCTTGTGGGGAAATGGGAAACCATCCCAGAACACCCCCAAACCTCTTTTGCTGATGGCCAATGCTTCTGAAGCCTGCCAGCCGCTTCAAGCAAGTCAACTCAATGGCCAGCCCGAAGATTCCCCTGGCTGTTGTTTTTGCCTTGTGTGTTTGTGTTGAAGGAGAATTTGCAGCTTAAGGCCGAGAAAGTGCAGCAGACGAAGGTACGCTCTTGAGACTCATGAAGCATGAATGAAGCAAATGCATAGAGCAGAACTACGACTTTGATCCGCTAGGCAATGAATGAGCTGTACACCAACAAGTTCTCCGATGACTTCTTCGCGCAGTTCGGGACCACCACACGATGAAAGTGTAGCTTGCTGAGTCTTTTGGCATGCCTCGCGCTGTGCCTGCAGAACATCTTGTTTCAGAGTCTTAGTCTCAGCCAGTTGCATTTGGTGCAAGAATCCCGCCCAGCCAAAATATGGCTGGATGAAAGCTTCTTCGCTTGGTATCGCGCATGTGGTTGCTTGCAAGAATCCGCAAGACAAGCTTTCGGCGCAGCAGTGCGCGTACGCAGTCGTGTCACACTCCACACTTTCTCGGAGGTCTCACTGCACGATCCATTTTGGGTTCTGATTGTTTGGTGAACAACTCATTCCACAGTGTCAATTCTTAGCTAAAACTAGGCAAGGCAAATGTTTCTGGATGGCATCGCGGAAATCCCCAAAGGGATGACCGATGATTGAAAACAAAAGAGCACACTAAACATAGCATGATTGATATCAGCTTTTGACATATGATATACTTTGGAGCCTCCGGCCCAGGCCGACAACTCACCGTGCTTCTTTGGTGCGCCCAAAGGTTTTGTCTGCTGGACACATGGAGAAAATTATTGCTGCTCATAAGTTGTACGTGTCTCTTGTATTTGCTTCCAAATCGTGCTGACATTTGGTGCACGTCTAACTCAAGAGAAAAAGCGATGCGAAATGTGATTTTGCGCAATTTTGCGGCACGTTAATGCTAATTCTGATTGGAGTAAGAACAATACCGCGTAGAAATGGCAACGGTATTGTTGTTTTGTTTAAATACGCCAACATATTTTGTGGATTTGAATGCAAGAGAGAGAAGACGCGATATTGAAACGGAATTTTGATATGAAGGAGACTATATATATATATATATTGGGTATGTTTTCTCGAATGTGTTGCAACGGATTTTTGTTTTTAAATTGGGTTTGGGGGTTGGAGGTTATGTTTTTTTTTTTCAATATTAATTTAAATTTATTAACACATATTTGTTTATTGACATATTTATGTGTTTAGTTTTATTTTTTCTTAGTATTATTTAGTGTTTTTTACGTTTCTTTGAATATATGTTTATTTGTTTACTTATATATATATATATATGTTTATTTTTTATTTATTTATTTATTTATTTATTTATTTATTTATTTATTTTTTGGGTAGTTTTTTCGTTATATCCCGGTAGTCTTCGAGTTGCTAAACACATTTTTTAGGGGCGCAAAATGCTTTTTGCTTGCTACAAACAAGGCTAACAAGAGGAACATTTAGCGTTAAGATTCTCAAAATGCATTTGCCAAGGGCCGCAAAATGCATTTTTCTACCTATCGTTCAAAGAACCCCTCAGTCTGTTCACTTGCTAGGCTATTCGGAAAAACACGCCAAGTGGTTCAAAGCACCAACCCGAATCCTGATACCTAAGAAGCGAAAGTTGCTAGCGAAGCCCAAGTCGTAGCCAAAGAAGGCGAAGAAGGAAGGAAGGAGGGAAGGTAATTTGAAGGACGACGACCCGAGGAGGAGCGGCGATGTCCCGCAAGGGGGTGTTTTTTCCAAGCTTGAGCGGGAACCGCAGCAATAAGCTCGCGGGGCCGGCGCGGCGCGGAGCCGGCGGAAGCTGAGGTTGAGGACCTCACCCTTTCCACAGAAGGATTCTTTCGACTGCGATGAAGGCGCCGAGTAAGAGGAGGAGGATCTTAGGACGTCTTCGACTACGATGAGGGGGGCGTAAAGCGATGAGAATGATGACTGCTCGTGTGAGCCCCTGTCTCCAGTGATGAAGAAGCGCAAACGCAGCAAGTCCAAAGCTACTCCAATGAAGAAGCCGCCGTATGTTTTTGTTTGGCAGGCCTTGCTTGGCTTGTCCAAGAAAGGCTGGTTTGAAAGCGCGCAGCGGACGGTGGAAGGGAAGCGACAGAAGTTTCTGAAACTGGTGGCTAGCGGTGTGTGTGGACTGGTGGCTAGTAGGCAATCGGGTTGGCAGGGTGCCAGTTAGCAGATGCTGGCCATGCGGCTGGCCGTGTGATGTCGCTCAACGGGCCAAGCATCATGATTGTCCAAGAGCAAACGTTGCATGCAAGTTGCGACTAGTTTGTAGCTTTTCCAGATTGTCATCTCAAAAGTGACGACTATGTGAAGGGGCGGGGCCCGCAGCTTCAGTGCTGCGCGTGTGACATTCAACGTGTGCTATATGAAAGTCAACACGGGGGGACAAACGCCCCTCGTTGTGGAAATGGCAGAAAGTGGAGTTCGACCAAGTCCCGCACTTGGTTGAACGGGCGCGCAGCTTTGCCACAGTATGTATCCGCATGCCGAAGCCCCGAGAAAAATGAGCAAGTTGACGTTGGCAATGGCAGCGACGTGCAAGGAAGAGCATGAGGAGTGCGAGTGGGTGAGTACCATCGCCCGCCTAGCGGGCTTCCAGCCTTCCGTAGGCAGGCCAGGGCCAGCATAGACCTGCTCGTGGTAGTCCAAAAGAATGGGCGCGTGGCTACGGCTTGCGTGCTTCCGTGCTTGGGCGTGTGGCGTTGCTGAGCGCAAAAAGACCCAACATTGAGTAATGCCCTTAGCGTGCATAACTTGCCTTGTGATGTACGGCGCCTGCTGAGGTGACGCGCGCTGAACGGAGACGCAAGTGTGATGAAGCGTGGGCCTTCCCGGAGCACGATACCCAAGTTGTTGCGAACCTGAGCGTGCCTCGCCCCGCCCCCTAACGTAAGTGGTTTCGAGCGTTAGCGCCCCCCGCCCCGCAGAACGTGCCGCGTCTGTGTCGCAAGTGCTTGTTTGTGTTAGAAGTGACCGGCAAAAGTGTGCAGACCCGCGACATTTCCCTATCTGGCTGCTGTCGCGACATTGCACAATTGCTGGCAATCGAGTTGGGCATCCTCGCCGGCGTACCTCTTGAGTATCTTCGATATTGCAGCATTGGCCGTCGGGATTGTCGTGACCGTTAATGAGAGCCTTCAACGCAGTCGCTTCGGCCGCAAAATGTGTTCTTGCACCTGTTTGGTGGTATTCTGGTAGTTTCCCCTGACTCAAGTGACTCAACTTGTCGCAGGTGACCAGTGACCCAAATGGCAGACTTGGCTGATCTAGCCACCCAAGAGAAACGACCCAAGTGAGTCACAATCAAAACCTGTGGGTAAATGAAGGTTAGTAAGGGAGAATCCCACCATAAATAGCTACGGCCGCCTTCTTAATTCTTTATAGTACCGGGTTTTGATTACGACTCAAGTGACTAGTAGACATCAACTAGCCCGCTGCAATATTTGCTGCTTAAGCCGATCGGCCAGGAGATACAGGGCAAGGTATGCCTCGTAGACAGATAATTCCTATTCATCTCCATGTTGTGGATGCGAGTCTACAACTTGCGTTTCTTGGCTGTTATTTTTGCAGTTGCAGAACGTCCTCGGCTTGGTGGCCAGAAAGCGCTGCATGCATTCGATGAGGTTTCGGCGCCTCAAGTCGGCAACTCGTCCAGGTGTATGTTGTTGGTTCTGTCGTAGCGGGAGTTTCCTTTTGTAACGCTACACGGATCCTGTAGGATTTGTTACTTTCCACTGTTTAGCTGGTTTTGGTGACGGAACGACCGAAACACAGATGCCCTAGGAGTAGCGAAATCACGCTGTCCACAGCGGTCAGCGTTGGCAGAACCTGGGCATCGATCCGTCGGTTGTGGGAGGAAAGGTCAAGTGGATCCTTGGTCGAATTTCACATTCTTCCGACGTGCAGCTTTAGGCTTTATGTTGTTCTCAGGCACAGGTCTCAGATTCTGAGACCCCTCCTACGACAAATAATACCTGTTTGCAGACTTCCATATCGCCCTGTTTTATAGTATACTGACAATGACATGTCATGGCGCGACCCTGACGAACCGCATACTTGCCTCGCATGTTGTTCATTTGCTTGGTGTGAGCGTACGACGTAAACCACAGTTGGCATCTTTCATCATTCTTTCGAGCACTTCGGGGATATGAACAAGGGGTTTGTAAACCTGCAACACCCTGCCAAGAGCTTTATATAAGCTAAGGAAAGGGTGCGAAGTATTTCGCTCTTTGTGGTATTTGAGCCTCCAAAACGGACAGTCTCCGGTAACCTCAGCAGCCTTGCAAACAGCTCCCGGCTGTGGGAGCTCTACCTAAGCAACACACAGGTCTCTGGTGACCTCAGCAGTCTGGCAAACAGCTCCGGTGACCTCAGCAGCTTGGCAAACATTTCCCAGCTGAAGCTGCTGTACGTCAGCAACACAGGTTCGGTGACGTCAGCAGTCTGGCTAGTAGCTCCCAGCTGCGGCGGCTGTACCTCAGCAACACACAAGCCTCGGCGACCTCAACAGCCCTTCAGACAAGACCTGTTTGCAAGGCTGCTGAGATCTCCGGAGACCTGCGTGTTGCTGAGGTACAGCCGCTGCAGCTGGGAGCTGTTTGGAAGACCTCAGGCGGATGATGAGTCTCGCTTTGTCACACACATCGGTCTTTGGTGATATTAGCGTCCTCACCAAGTGAGAGTCGAGAAGGTGGACTTGTCACGCACGGAGGTGAATGGGCGGCTTACATCTTCCTGGCGGGGCTACTGCCAGATGCTGGGGTCGCTGAAGCTATCCCACAGCCGAGTCGAGTTCTTGCCGGCTACTGAGGATCGGTTGGCTTTCCAGAACATTCAAATGAAAGGAGATAAGACCATGTTCCCAAGGTTGAGGTTGTTAGAACTGTCTGGATGTCCATTGCTTGCTGCCACTTCGCTTCTCAAGCGCTAGCCACCATCAAGGCTGACGACTGTGTGGCCTTCTTGGAAGTCTTTGGTGAATTTGGACCTGTTATCCAACGAAATGTCGTTTATCGAGGAGATCCCACAGAGTGTACAGTCGTTGTTGCTAGTCGACAACCCGTCGGTTGCCTTTGCAGCCAACGTTCTCGGCAAGGCTGTCTCTGACAGCATATTCTTGGACTTGAAGAATGTCACTCTGGAGAACAACACTGAATCTTGTCGTTGAACATCCTTGGATACTATACTCCTGGACACAGGGGCACGCCCGGCTGACTTTCCCTTCCTGTTATTTTTCCCGACTCGTCCAGTTATTCTTCAATTGGAGCCGGAAAGCGGCATGAGGGTTTTTTTTGAAGGGCTGCAACAAACGGTTTTTGGTTAACAATTAAACCGCCGGTGACCGGAATGCTTTAATAAAGTGGAAAATATAATTTGGCATAGGGGGCAATTGTTGGCAAATCTTTGGAAACGGTTGACAGATGTGTTGACATGTTTGGAAATTGTTTTTCCATTGTTTGGACATAGTTGTTTCTACACTAATCCTAATTGTCTTTGCGCTAAGTCCTTTTTGCCGCGATACAGATATTGTTTGGAAGTTGTTGTTTGGGATTTATTTTTGATATCGTCCCGCTAAACCAGAGTCCAACGACGACATATTTCAAACACTTTTTAGGGTCTGCGAGATTTCAAACAGCTTGCAAAGAATTGTCTAAACTGTTTCCCACCATCGGGGCACTTTTGGCTGCCCGTTCATCCCTGCGCACCGGCTTTCCCAAACAACCAACATAGCTTTGAAACACCAACGTGTTCTTTCGAGATCTTCAGTCAATCCCTTTTCCGAGGACTCGTTCACCGCAACGGATCGCAACTGAGGAGGCCAAAGCGCTCTTGGAAGCGGGAGACGCCGTATGGAAGAGCGCTCGGTGAGCGTCGAAGGTGGATTCGCGTGTTTTCACCTCGCATTGCAGGCGCTGCAGATCACGCCGGCGCGGTTTCTGCCAGACAAGCTGTAGCTGTTCCCCCGGATGGAGTGGTATGGGAGCGGACTGTACGAAGTGCCCTTTGAATCACTTCAAGGGAGGCCATGGAACTTGCCGGAAGTGCGAGGAAGGAAGCACGGCGCCCACTGGCTCCACGTCATGCAGCTGCGTAGTTGGTAAGCCCTACGATGACAGCGACACTGAGCGCTGTGGATGTGTCGCCGGGAGGCCTCCAACGGGTCCAGGGAGGGTGAAGACAACTGCCATGCCTTGGAACTGCTGGAAGAGGGCCATGCGCGCCTTCAAGAGAAAGACACGGAGACACTTCCCTGTCTTCCTCCAAAGTGCTCCAGGAGCAAGGTGTCCGCTGGCAATGCTTTTAAGCCCGCCCGGGTGCATAGATGACTTTAGTGGCAATCTTTGCTCGGATTGTGCTGCAGGTCACTATGCAAACAGCAAGATGTACAGAGCGTGTGCAGACATAGATATAACGTCAAAGCTCTTGCATAGTAGCGGCTGCTATTTTGACAGTCCCAATAACTGCTTTAGCATGGCTACTGCAGAGAATGCGGGCTGTTGTTTGCCAAAAGAGAACAAGCATAGCTCAATTTTGTGGGAGGGATTTAGGGTATATTTTTGTTTGTTAAATATAAACAAATAATATATATATTTATATAGTATTAGAGAGAATTTATTATTTTTTATATTGATTTATAATAATGTTAAACAATAAGATTATGTAATGAGGTAGATAGAAATAGATAGGGATAGATAGAGGTAGGTAGAGATAGGTAGAGATAGGTAGAGATAAACAGAAATAGGTAAAACTTAGTAGAAATAGGTAGAAATAGGTAGATAGAAATAGGTAGAGATAGATAGAGATAGATAAAGGTAAACAAATAAACATAATAGAATAAATAATAGATATAGGTAAATAGATAGAGGTAAATAGATGAAGAAAGGTAAATAGATAGGTAGAGGTAAAGAAAGATAGAGATAAATAGAAATGAGGTAAATTAGGCAGAAATAAATAGATAAGTAATATAGATAAAATAAATAAGTAAATAAAGATAAATAAATAAATAAAAATATATTAAGAAATAAATAGAAATACACAAAAATAAATAGAGATAAATAAAAACAAATATACAAAAATAAAAAAATAGAATTAATTAGATAGAGATAAATAAAAAAAAACAAGTAATTAATAACAAACCAAAGCAAATAATAGGCAGAGGTAAGCAAAGGCAAGGATAAATAAATAAAGGTAAGTAAACAAAATCATAGTAATCTAGGGGGTTTAATCCCCAAATCATTATTCCCAAGCTAACAATTAAGGGATACCCGATACCAACGTAAAGATATATAATTGGTGACAGGCAATCGCCTCAGCAAGGTGAAAATGGACCCACGAACTACTAACCTCAAAAGATCCATCCATGGGTGTAAGCAAAGCCGAACTGATTTCGCCCAAAGCATTGGGAAAAACGCCGCTAGTTGCAACAATCGGCCGCGGCTCAGAGCTTCTCACATCGCTAAACTCTCGCAAGATGGGCGCAATATTTCAACCAAAATAACTATGGAATCTTTAAAAACACTAATTTTCTATCCTCCCAAAAAACGTCCTTCATGGGTGTATTTAATACGGTTTCGATTAACCTAAGGGTCATACGCTCGAATCTCTCGAGCTAAGTCGAAATCGACCAGCTTCACCATCTCGTCATTAGTTTGAATTTTGTCATTTGGGTGCCCTTTTATAACACCCATTTTGGGGCTAAACCAAAAGAAAGAAACCTCGAAAGGGGGTTCTTATTCGAGGCAAAACAGGCCCACGCAACGCATCCGAAAGCCCGGCCGAGGCAGCGACCAAGAGGTTTTCGGGCTTCATATCCCGGTAACGCATATCAATAATCTCTATTTTTAGATTACTCAGATTTAAGGCGATTTAGCCTATATAGTCATAGAGGTTGGTCTAAGCAATATCAATTAAATTTATAAATTCATAGAGGTTTATCTATACAATATATTTGTCCCCAAATAATAATTTAAATTCGTAATTTAAATCGATCTTTTAGAAATTAAGCAATGATTTACTACTTAACTTCAATATAATCAAAAATTCAATTCCATAAATTAAAACAAATACCAAAAAAAAACAATCATAAAAAAGAATTCTTTTATATTCCAACCGATTACAAACGACCCACAAACCGAGAAAACGAAAATTCATACACTCTTCCCAAAAAATCGCATAAACCAAACTCTCAAAGGCCTATACCAAAAATAAATTAAATTTTATAAAATTCATATCGATAACTTATTTATGTAATTCAAACACCAATATATTTTCCTATATATATCAAAAATATATAATCTTCGTATATAATATATATACCATTCTCCAAACACAAATCGCAAAAAAAATAAAAAATACATATTCAATTTTAATATAATAAAAATTTAAATCCTAAATCACCAATCCAAATTATCAATTACAAAATAAATCAAAAAAAATCACTATTATAAAAAAGAATTCTACTATATTCCAACCCAAAATAATCCATAAACCAAAACACAAAAACACAATCTCATAAAACTTCATACACCTTTCCCAAAATATCGCATAAACCAAGCTCTCAAAAGCCAAAATCTAAATCATAATAAATATATCAAAAATAATATAAATTTTATAAAACCATATCGATAAAATATTTATATAATTCAAGCATTAATATATTTTTATATGTATAAAAATAATTCAAAAAATATATATAAATATAACAAACAAATGTCACCAAAATTTAACCGAATTATTAAATATATATATATATATCAAAATATATATAAATAAATAATTATAATTCAAGGAAAAACAAACACAAAAATAATTAGGAAAAAAAACAAACACAACAAATCAAAACACAATAACCCATATACACAAAACGCTAATATACAACATAACATACAACATAACATAATATAATACTCGTACACAATACAAAAATATATATTCGAAAAATAATACAATTTACAATAAACAAATAAAAACACACACAAAATAAAACACACATACAAACATAAAAAAAAAAACACACACACACACAAAACAATATATATATGTATATCGCAACTATATACCAATAAAACAAAATGTATACATGTGTATACAAAACATACATACACACAAATATTATATATCAATATGCATTATGTATAAAATACAGATAGATATATGCAGGAACGCACAAACACGCATGCATGCACGCAAGCACATACACAAACGAAAGAAGAGAAAGATAAAGACTACGTACACAAGAAAAGGAGAATATAAAGAAGGGACAAAACAAAAACGAGAAAGAGACATATAGCAACAGTTCATATACTTTTTGAAACTTTCGCCCACCGGCTTCGCCGGCTCTAATGGAACACATATTCATGACAACAACTCAAAGCTTCAACAGCTTCTGTGGCAAGTGCTTTTCCAAAAAGTCACAACAATATTAAGAAAGAAACGCAATTGCAAGACTGAACACAACATTTTTCTAGCATTTCTTCAATTGAATGATGGCGTTGTCCTGTCAGAACCTCAGTGGACGCATGATCGCAGGGATCAGTCTCTGTTGCTGCTCAAGTGGTTCTAGCAAGCAGCTCGATGTGCTTGAGCGGCTTTGGCTTCTGCTTTCTCTCCTGTACGACCAGCACCTTGCCGTTCAGCAAAAGCCGCAATTTCGGGCCTGGAAAGCCGTGCAATCGCCTGCCTCGGTCATTAACCAGCTGCTGAAGGTAGATGTGAACTCAGCCTGGCTTGAAGCCATGCTCCACTGGGGTACCACGCACTCCCCTTCAGGCCTCTGTGACTTCACCATCTTCGTTGAGATCATGAAAGTCGAGGCTCCCTTGCAAGATGAAGTCGGATTTAACCTGAAGCAGGCGTAAGAGGCCTCTCGTTTCTTGGTCTGTGTTGGATTTTTGAGCCACTGCGAGAAGAAAAAAGAGGTGGATATTTTTTTCGGGAGAGTCGGGTCCAAGAACTCACTTCCTGAGTTGGCCAAACCCAGTCCATCTTGGGTAGCCAAAAAGTTTCAAGTCCAGGAACTCAGGAAGAGAATGGAAGGAACCCTGGAAGGGACTCTCTGACTGTGACTCTCGTGAGAAAGCTCACACTGAGTGGACCACATTCTCACGAGTCAGGCGGCCATTGGTGTCGACCACTTTGGGCCATGCCTGGCTTATGGAGCCACTCTAGTGGGATGGGATTCCTCGTCCTCGTTTGGTAGATTTAAACATCACCTTTGTGACCTGGTGTTGATACTTTAGGGGTCACTTAGCGAACCCCGGTGAATGAATGAGAATTGGTGGGAGTAGTGGAGTGTAGTGATCTTGGGGCTGAACGTACAAACCGGCGCTCATAAACACTGGCGGACCAGCGTTCACAACTGTTCACATGAGTGGATAAATACATTGCCCAATGAAATGAATGAGACGCTGAGACTGGCTGGTTGTGCAAGGAAAGCATGTGCACAGCCTGAACAAGAACAAACTCTTAAACTCCATCACGCCAGGTGGAAGCATTAGACACGGGTGGGGACGCCGCACTGCTTGCTCAGTGGCAAAGCAGGCCTTGCCTGTAGTCAAGGACAGCACGTGGTACACTTCGTGAAACGTCGAGGATACAACATTGAACTAGTGAACATCGGATGTAAGGGCATGCCAGCTGTGGAAATCGTAAAAATCACATATCAATTGTTGTATTTCCTGATTCATATGGCTTCACTGTTTTGAGGTATATATGTCCAGCCTTCTTCGCTGCCTCCAAAACGGCGCCTGATTGCAAGCTGAAACAAGATTCCAATTCTTCTTTGACGCATGTATCCAGAGCTCATGTCCGCCAGCATAAATCATAGTAGACATGTGTTTGCTCCCAAAACCTGGCATTGTTTTGCCCACACATCTGGGTTTGCATGCCAATTGGTTGGACCCTACATTACGTGGGCCTTTTCTGTCCACCAACAATTGAACATAGCCATCCATTCCATGCCTGTGGGGTATGCCCCAATTTGCGGACCCCCTTGGCTTGGGGAAACCAAGAAGCCAAGCGCCAAGCGCCAACGCTGAGGTTGCTGCTTTCCAGCGGGCTTGATCCACCGCTCTCCAGTTTCGAGAGCTTCCTGGACACAAATCCCATCCGAACTTGGGCGACCCGGTCACTTGGGTCCTTTGCGTATCTCATCTGAACCCCGCTAGATACGTTTAGGGCCCCTCGGCATGACTCAAAACCATGGACCCCCGAGAATCACAGGGCTCCTTTTCGGTGCCTCTTTGACCATCAAGCCTTTTAGGGCCTCCCCGAAAAGGGACATGCCAGACAAGCACCAAGCGCAAGCCAGCCAGCACCGCGCCAGAGAAGTGGAGGCCATCCGCTTCAACCTGACACCGGCCGGCTTTGTCAAACGGCCTGTCTCTTTTGCTGAGGGCACCCCTTTTCTTGTGGTTTCAAAGGACAAGCAAAAGGAGAACCACACCCAGATGTCTCAACTTTCCAAGTTCGCGCACTCCGGCCTTGCAGCAAGGCCTTCTCCCCGTGAGTCGAACGTGGCCAATGCGGCCACGCGCTCCCAACCTGCACCAGTCCGACATTCTGCTGACCGTAGAGCAATGCTTCATGCTATGATTGATGTCGTTTGCACAAATCTTGGGTGTAGGACCTGCTGGGTCATGTTTCATAGGAACAACATCATCGGTGTCTCGCAGCAGGCTCATGCAGTACCTTGCATGCTTTATGCACTTGCAGAAGTGCGAGCAACATGCATTGTGAGTCATCGGCATCATGCTATTTCCCTCTGCCCCAGTCACATGCTGGAGGGGTCATGCTTTCTGCTTCAAAATTGTGCATTTCCAGATGATCCTAGAAGTTGCTATCAATTCGTGGCAGCACCATGCTCTCTCTTTCTGTAAGGGATCACATTGACCATTGGTACGGGCCTCTAATTTCTCGCCACATATCCTTTACATGCCCAGCGTACAAATAGTCTGCATTGCTTTCCTTTGGACACAAGGCCCAAACAAAAAGCAGGCCGCTAGTCAGTGCATGTGATTCTCTCAAGGCAGCCTTGCGATATCAGACTTTAGGGAAGGCTGCACACGTGCTATATATACGTAAATATGCGCACACATGTGCTGCTGTGTCAATTCCCACAGCTTTTGTTGCGGCCAGGTGGAGGGGTATCTTGGCGTTGCACTCTGGGCTTGTTTCATTGTGATTCGATCAGCCCATCATTGTTTAGGACTTTTTCCCATTCCGAATCTTGGACAACTGCAGAACAGGCATCTCTGAGCTTGCAACACTCATTGAAGTCACCCAACCGTCGGAGACGAGGATGGAAGTGTCGGAAGAAACCTGCTGGCATGTTTCATGCAATCTAAGCCAGATAACATGTGCAGTATTGGCTCAAACAAAGACGTGCTTGTAGTGGTACCTGCTTGCCACCTCGAGTGTTGCCATCCAGTTTTTTGTATAGCGCCTGCTGCTGCAGGGTCAGCGAACTGAAACCTGAGCTCGCAGTGCGCGATAGACGAAAGGCATTGCATGGAGGTCAACCATGTCATCCGATTTGGCACTTCTTGCATGCTGGCGACGTCAGGGAAGGAGCACAGTCTTCAGGCCTTGATAGATCAAGGAATGCACTCTCTTACAGCCCAAAAACCTCTCTGCAGTGCGTACTAAGCGCAAGACCCCACGTTCTTGCCTCATCCGGCACTTCCCAAGTGAAAGATCGAGTTGGGGCAAGTCACATCTTGCGGAGATCTTGGATCGCGCTTGCATGGAACGCGTGGCTGTGCCCCAGGCTCTCATGCACAAAGGCAGGTGGGATAAGCAGCGCCTCACCTTGCCAGGAGCGAAGCAAGATTCGTCCAAGTTGAATGGTCAGCGAATGCTCCGCTTCCTACGGATCTGTGCGCCTGCAGCGAGCGTTACGCTGTAAGTAGGTGCCCACCCTCCCTGGCAGCCGTGAGTAGGGTCTTGGCAATGTGCAGTTGCCTAACAGCATGCCAAGACACCCTCCGACCCCTCCGACGTACCATCTGATTTCCATCCAACTTTGCATGAGGACTTCCTTTCAACCCATCCCCCTGCAAGCAATTGGCAACAACTTTCATGCATCTGTTTGAACCCTTGAAAGGGTTCATCCCTGATAAAACTGCTCGCTCCCGTTCGCAGAGCTTCTCTGCCTTCACATTGTATGGCTCGCCATCTGCTAGGAGGCCATCCTCTGGCAATGAAGCCAAATGAGCTCGTGACTCGCGCATGGGATCCGGTGGCATGTTGGACTTGACCCCAAGCAATTGCGCCCCACAACGCCACTTCAGGGAACTGACAAGGCGAGTGACCATGACACGCCTTTGCAAAGCTGCCGTTGTTAATCGCTGGTGGCCAGGAGAGCCTTGCGTGAAGTGGCATGCAAAGTGCCGTTTCAGCATTTCTTTCGGGTATATATCAAAATGAGCGAACCCACACAGGGCTTAGTTTCCTTTTGGTTTCCCAAGAACAGGCACCCTCAAAAATCGGCAGACCCATATTATGTTCCTTAGCACAAACTCGGCTCCGCAAGTCCGAAGGTCGACAGGAACTTCCCTTTGTCATGGAAGATTCGTACTCCGAAATGTATTGGCTTTGTCTCCAAATAGGGGGACCCCCAAAATGCTTGTTTTACTTTTGGTTCCCCTTTAGACCCTGAAAAAAGGGACCTGTATTTATCCCAACTAGCACAGATCTGGCCTCCATCTCTTCCTGCCCCGGCCGAGAAGGGCACCATGGAGGTGTGGTGATATCATTTTCGAGACCCGTCAAATCCCGATGGAAAACCAAAGCAAAGTCACATCGGTGCCAAAGCTCCGCACTCCACGTCCTTCCAGCTAGCTGCAGCGTCAGCGTGCTTTCGCAGTGACTGTCCATGTGCGCCTGTCTTGCACGACTCAGCCAGGCATTTGCGTACCTAACACTAACATCGGTTTGTCTCAGAACTTGAACCCGCCCCCACCCCTTTTCGAGAGGTTGAAGGGATGCCCAAAGGAACCAACCGTAAACACCCAAGCAATATGACCCTTTCTGGGTGTGTGTTCACCCTTTGCGCTTAGAGAAACGTCTTGTCTTCGTCGCCTTTGCGCCTGCCCCGGGACCGGCAAACCAAAACTCTGGGCCTCGGCTCGGCGCGCCAAAGGGTACGTCATCGCACCCCCCATTACCAGACATGACGCCCTTTTTTGAGGGTACCCTCGTTGGGATGGTTTTAAAGGGAAACAAAGAAATGAGACAAACCCACCCGGGCTTAGAATTGCGGCTTGCATCTGTATTTGTCGAGAGCACGAGCAAGAGCCGAGATCCAGGCTTCCCAGAATTTCCTGTTGGTTTGCCTCTAGCGAGGCAGAACAACGCTCTTTCGCTCCTGCAATGAAAGAACCACCCTTCCTAACATTCAGGCTGTCCTGCAAATTTTGGGCGACACAAGGGGCGAACCGCCTCATGCTGAGGAACGCCAGGCAAAATGGACTTTGAGCTGGAATGAGTAAACAAAAGAACCAACCCAACCGGAGAAAGAATGGAAGCAGGGAAGCGGGGGATGTTTGCAGGCCACCAATGCGATACAAATAATTAACCAGACGACGCGTGACCAGAAAACACTCAGCTGTGCAAGGCTGTCATTTTGATCCGAAGCATACGCCCAGCAGGCTTCGAGCAAGCACGTGCGGCAAATACTTGACGTGGCGTGATAGTGGTGAGTTTTCGTGCAAATGCTCCGTGCAAGTCCCGTGCAAACTTCCCGAATTGCGCACAGTGTCCCTGTGCTTTGTGCAAGCTCCTCTGCGCAAGTCTCTCTACTCGAGATTGCAATTTCTGTGCTGGGTCTGCCTTGCGCACTCCCTTCTCCAAAAGGGGGAGGCGCGTGGTGTGGCCCGTGTTTAGACAAGAAGTGCAAAAGCGACTTGAGTCTTGGCAATTCTTGTGGGGGAGGAGTTCCGGGTTCAATTCCGCCCTGGTCCGTATCTGTGCCGGTGGTTACGGCGGGGATGTTGCTGTCGCTTCAATACTGCTGCTTTTGCTTCGTGTGATGCTGAGGACTCTTGGCAGCGGCTCGAGGATTTGAACTCCTAGCTGTGCTTGTGGTGATGCACGTCTTGCCTGCGTGAAAAAATGCAGGGAGGCAGCTCTCAATATTATGTTTGCAGTGAAAAGTTGCGATTGTCGCCCTGGAGCTGCTCGACTGTACTTCACGTACTACTTAAAAGTTGCAATTGCCTGCCCAGGAGATCAAAGGGGAGTCAAACCTGGGCAATGTCGATCTCATGAACACGCGCGAGCCAACTTGCGAGACTCATCCATGATTTCGATGAGCGTGTTCGGTGCGGTCGCCCCGACTTCAAAGATGACGTTTAACATTGAGCACAGATTCTGGCTTCCTAGCGCCGCGGCATCTCACAGCGCGCGCGCAAACATGTCTCACGTGCAATCACAACGTCAAATCTCTGCAACTTTCTGCAACACGTCGACGTGATATCTCGCAAAGTAAAATCTCTGCGTAATATCTCTGCACAATCTCTCTGCACAGTCTCTTGAACCTCAGTCTGCGTTCTCTGCTCGCTGTTCTACGCAATCGTTCTGCGAAAGAGGCGATCTATCTGTGTTGCTCTGCGCGGTCCTCTGCGCAAGAAGCAGGCTATATTAGCGGAAAAAAGGTCTGCGGACGAAGGGACAGAAAAAAACAGAAAAACACTTGCAGCGTGAGGGAGCAAGGGCGCTGGATCCTTCATGAAACAGGCAGGTCAGCACTACGAACAACTGCAACCGACGGCTCTATGCCCGGCCTGCGACCGATGCAAAAACTTTGGCAAGGGCTGCATCAACTTGCGCATTTGCTTCAACAAGTCCTGGGAGCACGAGCATCTGTAAAATTGGCCAAAGAGCACTGTCAAACTGGCGAGGGCCCTCTGGACGTCGTTGACATGAAGATGTCTGTTCGGGGTGCCCTATTGAGACTCATAGCCTTTTGTCAACGTACTCTACATCACGACAGGCCCACCTCTGCTCACCAACCTATTGGCCAGCCCGCTCCTTCTTTCCATCCCAAAGACGCTCACCTTCATCACCACCTTGTCTGAGTGCAATTGACACTCATCAGCATAGGAGAACGATTTAGGGCGCAACCTTTGACTCCCCAGTAGAATGGCGCCTGGCAGTTCAAGCAGGATGCTCTTTTGCTGCCTAATTGTCCCTGAACAGCCAAGTTCTCTTCTCACGCGTCTGACTTCTTTTCAGCCCTTGTGCCATGCGCTTGGTACGACTTCTCTTTGCAACTCAGCAAAGCTAGGCAGCTCTGCGTACTGAGGTGCCTGGCACGTGTCATGCGGTGCTGCGAATGTGGCAACACAGTTGAGGAAACTGACGGAAAGTGCCATGCCAGCTAGATTCATTCCCGGTAGAGTCTTCTCGAGCGAATCACAACAAGAACAGCCGCATTTCCAGCCTTGTTGGTTGCCGCATTAGCAACTGCATTAGCAACCATGCAGTGACAATGGCGCTTGCAGCCCGGCGAGCAACTGAATTAGCAACCGCATGAGCAAAACCTCTTTGGCAAACGCAACAACGACGCGTACAAACCAAACAACAACAAACAACTCATGCATCAAAGCAACAACATCAACCAAAACAAACCATTCAGCGCCGCAGCAGCAGCAGCAGCAGCGGCAGCAGCAAGAACAAATAATGGGTGCGCTCGCATCCGCACACACACACACTCTCTCTCTCTCTCTCTCACACACACACACGCAAGCACAGCGCATTCCTCACACTGTGATATCCCCATACCGTGAGCGATTGCGTCAGTTTCCAAAAACGTGGCAATGCATCCCAAAAGACTGGCGCAGCCACTGGCTGTCATGTGCCGTAAGATGAGGGAACCCCCCTCCCCGCCAAATAAAGCTGGTGTTCGGGAAAAGAGCAAAGCGGGTAGGGCACTCTCAAAACCGCGAAACACGCCACGTTTGGTGCCTCGGGGTCAAGAGCCCCGCTCTTCTCTATCGTCTTCGACCTCGTGACTCGTCAGCCCTTCTTGAGACAGAAATCTGCTGGCCCCAGCCAAGTCTCAACGTCCTTCAGGCTGATGGGGTTGTCCTGCCGGCCTGGAGCCCAACTCCCGCTTTTTTTTTTTTAACCGAAAAACACGGACACACCTGGCAAACCGGTTTGCCTTCACCAGCGGTGTACTCCATCTTCATCCGGCCGGTGGGAAACCTTCGCGCAATCGCGTCGCCTTATGGAGCCGGCGGGGAAAAACCATGGCCAGTGAGCCTTCCCTTGAACGAGGGCAGTGGCAGGTCTTCTGGAGCCATTCGCCCCTGCCTGTATCTTCAACTTTAAAGAAATGCGTGAGGCCGCGGCAAGTCCACTCAGCCGGCTTTTGCTCGACCTCAGGTCAATTTCAAAATCGATAACTCTCCATTCCCCTTAAGCAAATGGGCTGAAAAGCGTGGAATCAAGTGTATTTGTCTCGTGTGGCGCCCCCAAAATGGGAGGTTGTCATTTGGTTTCCCTTTCAAACCTCAAAATGATAATAATAAACGTAGTCATAATAATAATAACAAACATAATAATAATAAAGTCAGAAACAGAACACACATCTCAGACAAGGACACACACACACACACAAAAATGTGTGGCTGCCCCACGGATCACTGAGTGTCGCCACATCGAAGCTGGTACCATCAAGGCCGTGCTTGATGACCACCGGCACCCCCCTCCTAGCGAGCGAGAGAGCGAGAGGTGTGGCTTTTGAGGCTTGGTGCCATTTTGCCATTCTTTTGCCGGGGAGGGGGGTTCACTATGTATATCGGGGACTAGGACAAAAGGAAAACACGTGGTTTCCATTTGCCGGGCAGGGGAGCTCGCGATGTTGACACATATCCAGAGAGAGACGCCTCGACGTGCGAACGGGAGTACGAGAGATGCTGGGACTAAACGCGTGAGGATCCAAAAGGGCTTGGGTTTCAATTCGTTGAAGCCTGTGGACCAAATTTGCGCAAATTTGCATGCATTACCAATGCTTGTTAATTCAATCGGAGTCGAGAAAAACCCTCACAGCTGTCGTGATACAAACTTCTTGCCTGTTGGGAAACACAATTGACTGTCGAGATATGTGTTTCCTTGTCGGGACTTTACCGCCCTAGTGGCGTGGCGTGGCGTGGCGTGGCGTGGCGTGGCGTGGCGTGGCGTGGCGTGGCGTGGCGTGGCGTGGCGTGGCGTGGCGTGGCGTGGCGTGGCGTGGCGTGGCGTGGCGTGGCGTGGCGTGGCGTGGCGTGGCGTGGCGGGCGCGTGTGTGTGTGTGTGCCCGCCAACCATTTTTCAAGGCATTCCGAACTCCATCCATGAATGCACAACTCATAGCCAGGAGCCAAAACTAGGGAACCCTCCCAAAGCTTGTTCTTTTGGAAAGGGCCGATCAGAGAAGCGGAGTGATGAGTACACTGGCATCCGACACATGGACAAACGTCGCCTTGCATAAGAAGCGAAGGTTGATGCATTCAGGCCTGAGACAGCTCAAAACACAACTTGCTCTAACAAAAGCGCATTTCTTCAGACATTCCGATTGCGCCTTTCTCAGCCAGTTGACGTTCTGGCTTCCAAAGGCCCTAGCTGTCAAGTATGGAAGGGGTCAGCGGCAATGAGGCGCCCTCGTTGCCAAAGTACCTCAACGCATCTGCACGCTAAAACCGCTGCGTGCGAAAACACGCGAAAACCGACAAGAACAGCTCCCGCTTTGGCAAAGCTCCCTGGCCTTAACGCCTCTTCGCCGGAGACCCCCAGGTGTAAAGCCTGAGCGCCTGGCGTGAACCGTGATTTGGTAACTCGAATCGAACGTTTGTGGCTCCGGCCTGAAACGGAGAGCCACCACCACTTGGCCATCGCTTGGCTCAGAATCTTAGATGCAATTATGTTTGGAAGTTCTTTCATGGGGAAGGCGGGTCGAGGGCGGGCAAGTGCGTGGTAAAGGACATCCCAACAAGGCTCGGATTGAAATGTCTTGTGAAGGTGACCAGTCAAGCACGTCTGTTCAAGCACATCTGGTCGTAATATGGTGTACGTGAAACTCTCAAAACGTGGACCATCCTCACTTTGGTTTATGCTCGCAAGGCTCAGCATCTGGATGTTGAAACTTCGAATGCAAAGAGCAAGAGTTCAAGCAAGGCAAGCAGGTGCCTCGAGCGCCTCTCAAACTTAGGGGAGCCCTATTAAAACGCTTGCTTGTTGGGTTCCCTTTCGGCCATCCAAAAAAAAAAACTTCCCAGGTTGAGACAGACCCACTTGGCAACGCGCGCGCGGGCCCAAATCTCGGCAGCTCCTTTTTCTGCGCTACCGGTTGACCCAGCCAGCCAAACCTCGGAAGCAAAACCTGGCCCGGTCCACTAACACGGAAATCACCAATAACCCCTGGCAAGGAAAATTGTCTTCCAGGGCCCCCCTGTAAGGTTCCATGTGGATGGGGGAGGTAGTTGAGGGGTCTACTAAGAATGAAAAGGCGGGGACAAATCCGAGAAATTTCTTTCGCCGAAGGATCTGAGTTGCAAACGGCCCCAAGGCTTGCCGCGATCTCCTCCGCCACCTGGCACCTGATAAAATACTCCAACTGAGGAGGCGTCTATCCACCACACGTCTTCCAACCGATTCCCACTGAGGTTCTTGGAATCAAAGCGAAACCACAAGCACCCAATGGACGCCGATGGCGATCCCAGAAGCTAAGGCCAGCACGCCGACCCCGGCCAGGCGCGATCTCCGGGCCTAAGCAAAAGCACGGCGACTTGGGTGCTCGTCAAAATAGGGGTAACCCCAAAAGGGCATCGGGTTTCATTTGGACCTCTCTTTAAACCAACCTGAAAAGGGTACCCTCCAAAAAAACACAAACCTTAGCTTCTAGCGTGCATGGTTACAGGCGAACATGCCTCACATCCACACAGAATCATTCTCGGAAAGGGCCACGCTGTCCTGGTCTTCCACTGCGCGGGGTACCTGCCATGTATGCGCAAAGTTGCCAGCAAAGGAGCTTCCCGTTAATTGTTTGTTCTTTGGGCTCTTTGCTGCAACGCCCGTACATCGAACAATGGCGCATATGTTTAGGGGCGTGGGAACCAGGGTCACTGAACAGCTCGGCAAGATACGGTGAGAAGCATGCTCATCCAATGGCTCCGTCCAAAACTCTGCCGCCTACGGCTTGACAGCTGGAAAAGGTCCAGGTGTTTTTCAAAGTGTAGTGTACAACCTCCAAAATGGAACACGAAACAACAGACACCCATGATGTGTCTACACAGAAAAATCTAATAAAATGGGCGGCTTCCATGTGGTTTCCCTTTGAACAAACACAGTAGACCTTCACCTCCCCCCCAGCAGTCATGGACACCTCGAGACTGTCAACACTCCCCCCCCCAAAAGAAAAACACACGAGGAAGCAATTCGGAAAAGCAGGTTGCAAAACATACCCATGTCCATCAGACCTCTCTGCCCAGGCCCCCGCACCACCGTGGGGGGCGTGTAGACCAGCGATTGCCGCCACAGCTCCGATGACGGTACCAAATCCAGCTCAACTGGGCGGAATTGGAATGCAGCCAGCGATTTGGCGCACTTGAATCTGTGACTGCGAGCGAGTTATTGCTAAGCGTCAGACCCTCACTTTCTTGTCCTTGTGGATTCTTTCCTGCTTGTCCATCATCCTGGACAACACAACTGTTTTCACAAAGCACGGATCCCCGCCAAAGGAAGCAACTGCATGCAAGCGTGCATGAAAACTTCTTCATGGCCAGTACCATCTACTGCGTGCGTGCATCCATCCTCTGGAGCCTTTTGCCGGCTGAGGACCAAACTCCTGGCGCATCTCAATCTCAGTTTCCGAGAATGGTCGATCGTACCTCAGGCCATGAGACGGGGCATGCGAATATCAGCACTGAGAAACAGCTTCTCAAGTCTGGCGCACTCTGCCATGAAGGAGCGATCTTCGAAGGACTGTGGCTGGGGGCGGTCAAACTGCGCGAGGATCCTTAAATGCAACCCGCAACTCTCGCGCGGGGAATCGCTCGGTGCATTGAGGCCATGACTGGTACCAGCGTCTATCACCGCGAAGGATGTCATGCTCCAGAATGACCTACCAGGACGTAAGTTGTCACTGCACATTGGACAAGTTGCATACATAGCCAGCCGCATCACATGGATGATGTGATCGATTCTGTGCATGCACTCGGAACATGTGCAAGCCAGGGAAGACCATAAAGTCTCGTAAGAGGACACCACTGTGTTGGCTTCGGAAAAGCCACGAAAATGCCAAATGACATTGCCTTATTTCATTGCGCGCGGTTTGCAAAGGGACGCTGGCCCACAAAATAAAGAGAAACCCATCACCTGGAGCTGGTTTGCAAAACAAAGCTGAGAGGAACCCATCACCCCAGAGAGCCACCAGGCCTGCTTGACAAACCGCGCGCTGGTGTTGGACTTCTCCCCAATGAGCTCAATGGCCTGTGGAGTGAAGACCTCGCACCCAGCCACCGGCACAAGGCTCCAGCGCATGGACTTCCAATCAGTTCCCGAGCCAACTCGCTGGCCAAAACAGGCAGCCGGCTGCCCTTTGGTTTTGTAGGGACCCGAAAAAAGGGGGTTCCAACATGATCTTTTCTGGAGCCAATCCAAGCCTGGCATTTGAGGGGTCTACTCCAAACCATGCAAAGAATTACAAGGGCGGCTTTACGCAGCTGAAGTCCCCCACAAGCTTGTCCCGGGTTTTGATTGGCTCAATTATGTTCGAATCTCTTGTGGGTCTCGTGGCATGGCTCGTCAAAGAAGAACACCCCACGCCAAATTGCGGTTTTCCTTCTGGTTCCCCTGCAAACCAACCCCAAACAGGGGAAGCGGTGTACCCTCGACACACAGAGGCGCCAAGGGGCTCTCTTGTGGTTGGACGCCAGCTCCACAGGGGTCATGGCCTCCAAGACGCGCAGCGCCTGAAAGGGCGGGAAGCCCTGTTGGAAGCCTATGTTCAGACACACACCCCTGTGTTTCCGGAAAGCAAAGAGTGTCTAACGAAAAGTCAAGAAATGGGGGCCAACCCCAATCTAGCTGGTACTCTCGCCTATGCCCCCCCCCCCCCACCCACCCACCCACACGCGCGAGAAAGCCATTGTGGCAGAGGGGTCCAATCTTTGCCGCGCAGATGCAGAGCCCACCATGAGAGCTGTGGGATGCCCTTGGGCGACGCGCTGGCCCTGAGGGCAGCCAGCCTGATAAAGCCAAGCGGAACCTTGATTCAGGTGGTTCACACACACACACACACACACCCACACGCACACGCACAGAACTTCGAAGCATAGTGACACGAGCTGGTCTTTTGCGGGATCAACCAATACATGCCACGTGCTTCAAAGCTGTCAGCCCAAACTCAAAAAACAAATCCTCACCGGTTGCGGGGGCAGACCTTGCAGAATTTATCTGGTGCAGCCCTGCAAGAATTCAAAGCGATTTTTTGAGAAGCAATCCGCCGTTTTCACAGGTGATGCACATTTGGGCCTCCCTTTACTTACCCACAGAAAGGGTTTTGGACCATCTGCACTTGCCCTACTCCGACTTGCTAAAGCCGAGCAAGCCCGGTTGAGAAAGAAACAACTTTTGCAGTCGCCAGTCTGTGCTGTGTCAATTCGTTCGGGCATCCCGTGCAAAAGGAGAAGGGGCATGTTAGAACGCGAGGCCTGTTAACACTTGGGCCATTTCGAAGGGACGCGCACACAAAATTGACCATTTGGAGGGGTCAAAAGTTTTGACACAGGCCCAAATAGGGATTTGTTTTTTTCTGAGGGTACCCTTCTTGGGGATCAGAATGGATCAACTGTCCGGTGTCCCAGCGCTCCTTCTCCAGGTAGGCCAAGCTGGGATCATCCGTGGCAAAACGCCGCCGAAAGGAGTGGGCGCCAAGCAAGTCCATGAGCTGCGGGGCCACAGGGAGGGGTAGCTTGATGTTGGGGCGCAATCAAATACAACAAATGCATCATATTTGGGTTGCAGGGAGATTGGGCTGCTAATTCGCCTTGCCCCGATTGTGCTTGAGGATTGGGCAATTACTGTAATTACCCTTGTTGGTGCTCGCCCTGGCGGCGCGCGAAATCTTGGTCGCGTTGGGCCTGCGGGATTGGGGTGGGGTGCTGACGTGGGCTTCGGAAACTAGCGATGTGCTCACGTTCACATGAGTCACAACCAAAACCCGACATCTAAATGGTGAACCCAGAACCATTTAAAGAGTTCTCAAAGGTGGCCGCAACTATTCTGGCTGGGACTGCCCTTTTCTAATTTTCATCCCGGGTTTTGATTGTGGCTCACATGAACTTCAGCTCATACTCCTGATTTACACGGCCACAAGGGGCTCCTCAGTGATTGTGTGAGCGTTTGTGCTCGAACTTTCGCGCATGTTCCCCCTTCGCACGGCCGCGAAGAGCGCATTTTGTTGGCAACTCACAGTGTTGCTGTTCACCTGATCTCGCAGACGGCTTCTAGTGCGTGGTTTTAGTGGGGCTGGGGTGGCCCTCTCTATTATTGAATGCCCCCCTGGCAAAAATACGTACTGCAGGGGGAAAACAGACTCACCAAGGGGGAGGGGGTTCCACTGTCCTCGTCCAAGTGGGGTCCCCCCCTTTGCCGGCCGCCAAAGTTGTGATCTGACGAGTAAGGAGTGTTATGAAACTGCTCAAGGCACTTTTCTGGATTTGTCGATTCAAATCAAAAGGCGGACTTAGAATTACATTTTTTCAGTTTGAGCATACAATTGCAATTGTAAGAAGGGAAGTGCCGGAAGTACTCCCTAATAAGGCTGTCAGGAGTTAAGTGTTGGTTTAGTATTGGGTAAATTGAAAGTAAACGGAGAAGCGTTGTTTTGGATGTTGGTCTACAAAACATATCTATCAATCGGGGTGACGTCTTTATATGGGGGGGAGCGGATTAGTTCTGTTGCTGCGCCTCTCGCTTCAAATTCACAAGGGGGGGGTGGTCTGCCATGCCCTTGTTTCACTGCTGAGAAGGCTCTCGTAGTTGAAACGCTCAGCGCCGCTAATGGCAGCGAAACCTTTGCCTTGTTCCTTGATTTGAGTTGGTACCTTGCCCCTATTTTGGTTTGGACAGGTGCTCAGGGATCGGGACAATATCATTTGCATTATTCAGCTTGCCCATACTTGGTGGGTGGGGATTGGGCCATCATCAATGTTGCTTTGGTCTATTCTTGCTTGTTTGATTCAGCTTCGCCCTACTTGGTGGCTCGGGGTACCTTCAGGAGCTTAAATCGCCGACGAGCCAAGTCGGCTCCTGGAAACAAGCACGGAGCTTGAATGAGGGTCTCCGCAGCACTGTCTTCTCTTCAAAAGGACTTTCTTTCAAGTACAGTACTTTTGTCCTGGGCTAGACACATGCTGGAATTGACTCGCGGCATGGTGGAATCTGCGCATTTGATTCGACCTGATGAAATACACATTATCCACGGAACGGGCACCGAAGGGGCCGAACACCGCACGGCTTGTAGGCGCCTTGCGCTGATACGCCAGCATGCTTCCAAAGGTCCACATCTCCGGCTCCATCATAAACCGCTTGGCTTCGTTGAAGATGTCCGACTCAGGCCAACTCACCGGGACATGTGTCACACTGGGACCCCTGCAAGTTGCTGTTTTTCTTGGCTGCTTTGCGATTGAATGAAATCCAACCAGCTTGCTAGTTTTGACACATGCAGTATCGAAAACACAAAAATGCACACACACACACACACAACACACAACCGCGCACATGTCAGCAGCAGGTGTCCTGATGCTGCTGATCAGCACGAGCCCGCAAGCGCGCCTGCGGCGCGTGAGTCTGGCCCTGAGACGCTCCCTGCCATAGCACGTGCCTGGCGATCGCGGTAGGAGGACATCATGTCCAGGCCACGAAAGCCAGGGACCATGTCCTGGGGCAAAAACACACTGAGCCAACAAGGAGTTAGCCTATGGTGAAAGGAACATGACCTGCTTCGGTGTGTTGCGGGTTTGTGAAAGTGCAGCCACATGAACTTCGAGGGGGTCCTTAGCTTTGTGACATGGACAAACCCAAAGCTGAAAGCGACTGCGATGCGACATCTTATCACATCTAAGTGAGTGGTAGATGCCGTGCTTTTGCGACCGGCTCAAGTCGAAATCGCCCGACGTTCGGAATGAGATTGGGCTCAAGTCTAGCTGGCATGCTTACTTGACCAAAGAAGTCGCCGCTTGTATTCTGCTGCAGGGTGTGTTTGTGTGTGTGTGTGGGTGTTTTCAGCAGCCACTGTGAATCTGTCTATTTAGTTTGGAGTGCGTTCTGCATGCGCGGTGGGTACATGCGTCTAAGTGCATGTGAATTGGAATGAGTGAGGTTGGTTTTGCATGTTGAGTAGTGCGTCTAGCACAGATATTGTTTACTATAGGCAACTGTGACTTGGAGGAGTTAGGCACACGATCATTTGACATGACTGGGTTTTGGGGCTTATACTGGTGTTTGCGGAAGTGAAGTTGTTCTGAGCATACTTCAAGCTGCTACCGTTGGCATCTTCAGAAGTAGCTGATAAGATGCGCATCGGTCACGTCGAGCCTCTGCCAGAGGTTACCAATGTCCCAGTTGCCCAGCGGCTAGAACATGAACTGGAGCCGGTGCTGGGTTGAACGCTGAGAGAGAGCCTGCCAAGCTCACCTTACTCCACCAATTCCTATTTGGTGGTTTGGATTGGTTGGGCATTTGGACCCCCATTTCCTCTTGAAACCAATGGGTAGGCAACCCCCAAACCTCCAGATGCGACTGTTCGGATTCCCTTTGAACCGGGCTGCTGTCGCCTTTCGAGCAATCGAGAGCCAAGTCTCTGAGAGCCGCTGCAGGGCTCGTAGATGCGGCGAGGTGCCCAAAGTGGGAAGAGGCGAGCCGATTCTCCCCGAGCCTGCAACCTCCAACAAGAGCGTTGCAGATTCCAGGCTTCGAATCAGCGCATCCAGGCAAAAAACAGAAACGGTCCAAGCTGCTTCAGCGAATCAGAGCAAGCACATTTGATTGCAAACACTTCTCGGCCGGGAAAACCTTACGTTGTTTTGGGAAGGAACAATTCGGGCGACTATCTTTTACGTTTGCGCGTCAATCAGCCTTCACCTCTGGCCGCGAGCGTATTGCAGGCGCTTGCGGCTTCGCACCGATATGCATCGGCCTCAAAGAACAAGCAAACAGCCGGTGAAAGCTGCGACGTGGGGGTGTCTTGCTGGGCACCCCGCCAAAATGGTGGCTTTCATTTCGGTCTCCCTTTTGAAGCCGCAAAAAGGAGGATCCTCAAAGCGACACACCCACATCGACATCGAATGCCAAGCGACTTGCCAAACTTGCCGGCAGAGATGTGCCGGCAGCATGGAGCGCAAAGCCTGGCAAAGACGTTGGCTTTGCAGCATGCCGCGTTGCGATTGCAACCAAAGGGTGGTTCTCCCCAAACAAAAAGACACACCCAGTACCTCAGAGCATCTCAACTTGGCGAAAGGGCCCCCGGTTAGATCCAGGGCCAAATTGCAGGATCCATCCGGAGGCCTCGCTCGCAGCGGAAGAAGAGCCGCCATGGCAGCGGCCACCACGAGCTGATCTTGCGAGGTTTTGGGTAGCACGGCAGGCTGATCATGAAACGCCCATTGCACGGGGAAGGGAGTGGCCAAGAATCACCACAATGTGAGATGCTTGGAGAGACACAATGGAGATGCTGGAAGAATGGTGAATGAAAGAAGCATCTACACCCCCTCCCTTTCTCACCTCTTCATCACATCCTAGATACAAAAGGATGAAGGAATGCATGGCGAGTGAAGCAGAAACAAGGGAGTCAGTATGAGGTCAATCAGAATATCTAGCCCTCACCAATGTTCCTGGCAACAACATCCGTTGCAGAAGTTGTTGGGGATGTCCAGATGCTTGATTGGCATGCGTTCTTGATACTTGCGTTCACAATCTGCCGAGACTCTTGCGAGGTCAGCTCGCTGAGCCATTCGCAAAGGCACAAGATGAATCAAACGCACCAAGGCTAGACTCACCGTTGAAACACCCTGTGCAAAGTGCATATAACTTGGGTATGTCAAGCTTGTCAAGGTGAAGCAACCCTGCCCTAAACCTGAGCCGTCAACCGACATGATCCAATGAAACCTTTTCCTGCATGCCGCTCCTGTACGTCTGTACACAATCCGCGCCGAAAACTGAGTGCCGCAGAAAAGGATGCAGGTGAGACTCCGGCAAGGTGAGGCATCAGGGCCGCAACATGGAGCAGAGTGGAATTGTGAAGCTGTGGCCATTGGCTATCAGCTTGCTGCAAACTTTAACACACACACACACAAACACAAGCTCCATCGCCCCAACCGGCCGTAGGCTCACCGTGTCCAAGGCGGCTGAACGGAGGCACTGCGGCAAGCGCAGGGGAACAAGGGAAACAGGCAGAGTTCGATGTGCTGAGGCAGTCAGAGCTTGATGCCCTCAGAGCGGGAAAGTACGCATGGCTGCTTTTCTTTGCTCTCAAGTGGGTGGTCTTTTTTGCAGGGTAGGAAAACCAAAAGCAAAACACACACTCTCTTTTTTCGGGAACTCCCCCCGAAGAAAAACAAATCGACTGCCTTGGGCCTTGAGGTCTACAATCGTATGCTGCTTCGCGCCAGGCGGCCAGGCCCTACTTCGGCTTTGCGTTCACCTGCAAAGGAACACACACACACACACACACATGACTGCTTCTCAAAATGGCAGACCCTTTTTGTTGCGATTTGAAGGGGGGCAGAAAAACACCTACCTTTTTAGGCACCACTATTGTCAGAACCCCCCGCAACTATGACCCCAATAGGCCCTGCGACCGATCATGCAGCAATATCCACGGACCCTGCGCTTGTCAAATAGGAACTTATTATCATTATCACTGTTACTATCATTGTTATGATTATGCTTGTCAACCTCGTGACTTAGTCTCCATTGGTATACTTAGTGGGTTTCAGGGTTGGCACTTCTGCATTGAATTGGATGCGATATGACACCTTCCCCAAGCTTGCTAGCAAGCACTTTCGAGTGGCCTGCCTTCTTGACCAAGTCCTGGTACCATTCATCTTCATCGTCACCTCATTGCGTATGTCCATCCCGAGGGTTGCATGTGGCCCTCCAAATGTCCTTATGGCCCATCCAGCCTTCACCTGCATCCTGCATGACACACCTGGCCTTTCTGTGACCAGTGCTCTCACAGCTAACGGCAGTAGCGGCAGGGACTGAGCGAAGCACTGACTTCCTGACCTGGCAAAGTCCAAAGTCAGCAAAGGCAGCAAGGCGCATGCGCTTGGCTGCGGCGGGTCGCTCGGGACCCCGCCTAATTTTCTCCGGAGCTCCTTGAGTCTCTTCATCTTCTTTTTCTCCTAAACGCGAGCGCTCGGGACTTGCAATCTTGCTTGGGGTTTGGTGCACTCATTGCGCCAGGGATGGCTCAGCTGCTGTGCTCTATCTGTCCAGTGACACACGCACACTGAATGGAAACAACAGCTCTCTCCTTGGATTCTTTGGCTGCCGCGGCCGCAAGCGACACGGAAGATGGCGCAGAAAATGGCGTTGGTCTGCCCTGACATGCAAATATGCGGCACGGCTGCCTTTACATACTTCACGCTCGCAAGTACATTGGCCTCCTCGTCGTCATGCACCGGCGCGCCCTGCCAACGCACGGCACGGCATGCAATGCAGCCATGCCTGTCGGTCCTCACGACGCAGCCGGCCACCTTGCATCATCCAGCGCTCTGTACAGACCTTGGCCAACTTGCCTCCAGGCATTTGGGTATGGGTCAAAATTAAACCACCAGGGGACCGCAGGTTTTAGTCCATGTTTCCATTTACCATGGTTCCATTTTGGGTACCTATTTTTGACCCACAGCCATTTGAAGTAAACTCTCAAAATCCCCAGGCAGTCTTCCGTTGCAACCTTGGTCACCACGCCTCATCTACGAAAGAGGCGGTGTGAGAGATCACCAGCACGCCACCACCAAACACCTCTCCGAGCAGAAACCCCTACAAGACTGATCAACCAATGTGCATCTCAACACTCTCAACCACAAATGATGACATCAAGACGTGGTACTACAGGGTCTTCCCAAAGCCATGTATCATGTAAAGTATTGATCCCATTCTCTCGATTGTCACGCACAATCAAATGAGGCACCACAGCCCCTCGCAGGGCCTTCAAGCCGGCGGCTAACGCAGCCAAAGAGGGCTGGTCAAGGTAATTCGTCGGCTCCTTGGTCACGGCGGATCTGCGTTTGGTCGAAGTTTACCCAGGCAGCACATGGCTCGTGAAACGCCAAGCAATTAAGCACTCCCGGTCACAGAAGAGTTCACCAAATTGGCGACGCGTCATCCAAAACGCCGATCCGAGCAGAGCTTGTCAGTGCAGCAAGTGATCCAAGCACCCTGGTTGTCAGGTCAATTCATGGGAAAAGTCCATTGGATTGCAAGTTGATAGCGGAACACCACTGCATCAAAATAGAACAGCCGACAGTCTCAGTGCAAGCACTCTGTCTGACCCCAACGCGCCAATCACAAAGCATGCCGACGTCTCTTTTCCTGTCGATTCAAAACCGTTTACGTAGAGGCCCTGTGAGCCAACGGTTTGGTGCAAAACCTCAAACCCAGGGGTGGGTTTTCCAGATCGAGCAACCGACCCCAGCAGGGGCTCCGGCGTCAAGCACCAGGAGGTGCGGAGCCAGCCAAGTTGAGGCCTGGTCCATTCGACCCATCCCGTGAGTTCACGCCGACTTCTCTCATTTTTGGAAGATCTGTGGGTGGTTTTCCGGCTCAAAGCCCTCGGCTTTAGCAGGTAAGTTGAGAGCCGCGCTGCAAGCACAGCTCGTGCGCGCTGGCCACTGGAGAGAGCTCCCAAGCGACGATGGCATGCCTGAATCCGAGTTGCAAGGGCGCAAAGTGATAGTTACGAGGCAACGGCTCTCACATACGCAGACAAAGCATCGGCAAGAAACGTGTGCTTCTGGCGCGAACTCTCCTGCGTCCTCCCCACCTCCTCCTTGGACAGCCCAAATCCAGCCAGGTGTGCCTGTGAACATAGGGGCATAGGCAGCATGGGTTGAGCCCTCGGACTCTGAAAGTGCTCAGTGCCTCCACCGCCGGGCTTGTGAGTGGTCGCCCACTGAGGCTGCGCTGTGCAGCTTGGCGCTCATCCTTTTTGAAATCCGAAAGGCAATAAAGGCGACGAACCATGCATCGCTGGCACCCACAAGTCCCCCATGCGCCTTGCTCCCCCATGTCGGAAAGGACTTGCCCCTATAGTCACTTCAACTGCCACGGCCCCTCCTCGCGCTTGACCATGCCCAAGCAGCCCATGGCGACTACCTCTGAAGCCATTTGGTGCTTGAAATCGGGGCATCATCTGAACCACTCCATTCCTCCCAATCAACTGCCTGTGATCGCGACATCCATGTCGTTGCGGACCTGCGGGCAGGTGCTCTCATGTTTGCTCTGAGCTTGTTCTGTGTATGTTCGTGCATTCAATCGTTCATTGAATTGTTTGTTTGTTTGTCCGCTTGCTTTGTTTGCTTGCTTGCTTGCTTGCTTTGTTTGCTTGCTTGTTTTGCTTTGTCTGCGCGTTCGGTCGTTCCGTCATTTGTTTGTGTGTGTGTGTGCGCCTGCTGGTTGTGTGTGTGTGTGTGTGTGTGTCGTGCTGTGTAGTCTGTGTATATGGTGCGTGTGTGTAGGATCTGCGCCATATGGTGTGTATATGTGTGCATGTATATATGGTGTATGTATATGGTTGGTGTGTGTGCATACGTATATTAAATGTGGTGCATGGTGTGTGTGAATGGTGTTTGTGCCTGGTGTGTGTGTGTGCATGGTGTGTGTGTGTGTGTGTGTGTGTGTGTGTGTGTGTGTGTGTGTGTGTGTGTGTGTGTGTGTGTGTGTGTGTGTGTGTGTGTGTGTGTGTGTGTGTGTGTGTGTGTGTGTGTGTGTGTGTGTGTGTGTGTGTGTGTGTGTGCGTGCGTGCGTGCGTGCGTGCGTGCGTGCGTGCGTGCGTGCGTGCGTGCGTGCGTGCGTGCGTGGGTGTGTGTGTGTGTGTGCGCATGGTGTGTGTGTGTGCATAGTGTGTGCATGGTGTGTGTGTGTGTGTGTGTGCATGGTGTGTGTGTGTGCATGGTGTGTGTTTGTGTGCATGGTGTGTGTGTGTGTGCATAGGGTTTTGTGTGTATTGTGCGTGTGTCTATGTTTGTGCGAGTGTCATGCTCTGCATGTCCTTCTAAAATGACTCGGTATGAGCAACGTGCCGTCGTTCTGCCGCCTGCCACGCCAGCGCATCTCGTACTCGTAGCCCAGGCGCCCTCGCTGACGCCTGCGGGACCCACGGCTTCCACTCCCATCGGATGCGAAACGGCGTTGATCGGCGAGGCCAATGTGACATCGGTTCCGCCTGTCAACAATCATCTCTGGCTCCAAGGCCTGTGCAGCTTGCACCAGGTATGCCTTGTTCCTGTTTCAGTTTGAGGTACTTCTTGCATTTTCTCGCATTTCACGCGCACAGCAACCATTTGGTGCAAGTGGCGCAAAGGGGCCTGCGGATGCCCCGCATCGCAGAGCACCAGGCGATCCTCCACCAGGCGGAACCTCATCCCCGTGCGACACTTCGGCTGTCGGGTGATCCGATCCAAGGCTACGACACTTTGGGCTCTTCGCATTCTTCCTCTTCCGCCTTTTTGGCAAGAGCCTGGCAAATCACCAAAACACAAATTGTCAACCCTCTTAGGTGCATCATGGCAATAGGTTTGCGGTACTCCTTTTGCTGTATGGCCTCGACATGAACACTTCATGTCAAGAAACATGTCAGATCCTGGCATGGCTCTCGATGCTTTCACACCTGCCAACGGCCAGCCCTCGAGCACGCCTCTCGATCTTCATCTCCTTGGAATCGCCAGAGAATGTACCTGGTTCCAGGCACGGCCTGCCATTTGCTTGAAAAAACGTGTTGCTTTCTTTTCGCCCGCACGCAGCAGCGCAGCGCGCAGGCAAGCGGGGCGCGACCTCCCTTTGGCCCATGAGATCACTGGCGACATCCTTGCCTACACGTTGAACGTAGCCAACATGTGCCTAAACTTGCTGCAAGCTACACAGCTGGGCTGTCACATGCTTCAGTCCACAGCAAAACCTGATGCCCACTGGCCAAGATCCACGATAATGAACATGTTTGGTACGGTGTTTTGCCAAATATTTGCTTTTGGGAAAGTGTTGTTTCGGGTTCAGGGTCGCGCTGGGACGTTGAAGCTTGCATAAGCAAGGTTGAAAACGCAGTCAATCCAAGCTTATCTGTGCCGTCACCACCAAATGCCAAGAGTTGGAGCGATGCGCAAGGCATCGCCGGCGCGCACTGCTGGTGTCACCGCCCGAAGTGTATTACCGCTAGTGCTGCAACCCCGAGCTCTTGTTGCACTTGCGGCAGAAGGGTCTTGGCATCTAAAGCAAGCACCAAACGTGACAAACCGCCAGAGGAACAAGAGAAGGTCGGATGCACAAAGGACAGTACCCCACGCTCATGCTGCATTGGGCACTCCTAAAAGTGTCGTGTTGTGCGATATGCTACAACTGAGACGCGCACTCCACTGCGGTGAGCTGCAAATGCTCCTCTAGGTGATGGAAGGCGTGCTGCGCGACATAAGCCATTCTCAGGTTCCTGGCCGTCAGACCAAGGCTGCTCGTTCAAAACAAGCAGGCACAGCGGTCAACACATGCAAGGTGAGCGGATGCCGCCACGCAAAGCCTGCATCGGGCGACAGTTCACCCACGACCTCAGAAGGGGCCATGAGATCTGAACCACGGCTGTTGTTGCTTCTGCTTCTCAGATCACAGCATAGACGTTGCGTTCCAAAAAGGTGCAGAAAGAGGCAAGCCGACATGGAACGGCACAGTAATGCAAGGTACCTACCTGGCTGTCAGTTGCCCATGTCTGGAGAGATGAGCACATTGTTTCTGAACATGGTTCTGAAAAGGAGACAATGGTGTCTAACACCGCAGTTATCTTGGTGATCGCGGCTCACAAAACGGAGGGCAAGGAATGTCCGGACTCTTCTGCTGACCAAGCCAACGCTTTATGGGGCTTGGGGCTCTGGTGAGGCAATCCGAAGGGACACCCTTAGCCCATCCGGCTTTGAGCGGAGGGGTCCATCTCCCACGGCGAGTTTCTCAAAGTGGGGAGCCCCTTTTGGGACGGAGAAAGGGAAACTAAAGGAAACCGGGATACCTGCGATACACGTGTCTCAAAATGGACCCCGCAAAAAGGCATGGGAGAAACCAACCCATTTTGTGGAGCCACGCCTTTTGAGAAAGGATAGCAGAGGCCCCTCGCAAGGCCCGCCACTGTGGACTTGCCCGCGCCGTTGGGACCCATGATGGCCACGCGGCTCCTGGAAATGAACTTTCGGGTATGATACGCATGCCGTGTTTGGTCGCCTCGCTTTTGCTAAACTTTGAAGTGACCACCCCCTTTTCCTTTAGAAGACCCGAAAGGAGAAGAGAGCCTCACTTCCATGTCGGCCTTAGGGACCCTGCGAGCGAGAGACATTGGTGAGACCTAGACACAGGCCCCCGAGGAATGCATTGGTACCTTTCCGCTTTCACCAGAGTTGGTTCATATTCGCCCTGTAGTGTCGAGCGTGCAAAAGGTCAAAGCCATAATTATAACCTGGCACAGTCTACCAAAACCCATGTGGGTGTGTGCTTCTTTAATGGCCCTTTTAAAATGGCGGAGTTGTCCTTTGGGTGTCCCTTTAAAATCAACGAAACGGCGGTACCCTCAAAAAAGCACACCCATGCAAAGATCTACCAGGGTCGCCTATTGGTCCATAGCCTCCTTCGCCTACGTGTTGACCGCGTCTCAATTGAGAATGGTACACGGGTTGGTTTGACAACCAAAGTTTTACATCGATCTGCCGGGCAGCGAGCGCACAAAGGTCCCAAAAGAGCCTTGTGCGTATTCTTCTGAACAATACGGACCCCCTGGTGGTTGGCTTGCTTTTAGTGGCGTCCAAACAGGGGACCCATATTAACACCCATATTATGGAGTGTTCAAGCACGTGAAGGTCTTCTCTTGAAGCGCTGCACCTCACCGGTTTCGGATATCCAACGTTTCCTGTGCCATACTTGTGTCCTGTGATTGAAGGACGATTGTGGATAGCCTCTATCGGACGTCTACGGGTGAAGAACGTCCGGTGCTGTGGCCACTTGACCACTTGGTCCAGGACATGCAGATATGAACGTCGCTGCTTGAAGCATCGAAGCAGACCGGAAAAACGTGAAGGACCTTTATAGGCGACAACTCAGTGCATGTCCCATGGCCCATGACCATCAAGAGTGGAAACCGGCAAGTTGAAACAAATCCTGCGCGAAATGACTTCACTGAAAACTGCAGCATTTGCTCCTGAGCGAACATTCCACAGTTGCAGCCTTCGCGGCTGGCGCGGTACCCTCCGGGTAGGTGAAGACCACATCCTGCGATTCAGTTGTTCATTCTTGCTGAAGCCGTGCAACAAAGCGACAGTACAAGTACCGACAGAAAAGCGACCCCGCAAAGACTTCCAGCACCCGCAGCCTCTAAATACAGGAAGCGCTTGCTCTTGGAACGGACGCCTTCCAACTGCCCTGGCCTCGTATTGCAACTTTGACCGTCCAATTGTCTCTGGTGGGCGCTTTTCAAAATAGAGGAACCCCGGATCCCTTTTGTTTGGAAAGGGGAAACAACAACAAACTAACCGAAGGGGTCCCTCTTTGAGGAACACCCTTCTGGAGCTATTTGCTTTGCCCGAGGCCGCAACTCCGGCAAGACAAAAGCAGTGCAGGTCTGAGCCTGACAGGGAAGCGAGAGACAGGTGAACGAAGCCTAGCCAGCCCAACCACGACATGTGCGAAGGTAATCTTAAATGAACACCCAGAAAGCAATGAAGACCCGAACTTGGACCAGGTCATAACGAAAAAGATGCCCTAGCCACAAACAATCGGACGCATGGGGCAGACTAGGGAGAATCGAACCCTTCGCGGAGGCGGGAGGGGGGGGCTGGATCGAACAAATCAATCTCTAAAGACGGGCCAGCCCCCTAAAGTGCTTAAACAAGGCAAACTCAATGCTAGCATGGCTAGCTTCCGTCGTTACCAAGGCGATCGAACTGCTGAACCAGTCCAAACCCTTGGCTGCAAGTCAACACCTCCGAGTAAAACTTCTCCCCGCGCGCCGGTACAGTTCAAGCAACCAGACTTGCCGAAACCCAGGGCGGATCGGAAGCACTGATCTCCCAACAATGTTCCATGTGGGTGTGTCCGTTTTGATCCTTCCTGTGTGGTTTTGATCCTTTCTTTGTGGCTTTGGAGGAAACCAACCAAAAGGAGAACCACCATTTTGGTGGTACTCTAAACAAGCCTAGGTGATATGCCCAACAGCCCCGCAATTTGCTGGAACCCTGCCCCAAACCACCCCAGAGCCAGACCCTTCAGCCGTCGGGGACAAAACACGCACCCATGTGGCCATGGGTCAAACGCCCGTACCCCCAGTGCACATCCATCCAATCCAACCACTAAAATAGGAAGCCTAAAATGGACGTGGTGAATTCACCTACCAACCAAAATGGGATCCCAAAACGGTTTTGACCACAGCCACGCGGCTGGCGGATGGCGAAGTTTTTTCGTCTCCCGCCTCCTCCCTGGAGCCCAGCTGGGCGTCTGGCACTCGTGCCTCTCGGTTTAGGGTCGGTTTCAAGGCTGAGCTGGGCGACTGTGGCTCCAAAATTGGTACCAACATGACTTGGTAAATGGAACCAAAGACTAAAACCTGCGAACCCCTTGAAATTTGAGCCACGGGTCGGTCCTTTCCAGGTTGGCCCTTCCAAGTGTGGTTTTCCAAGTGGAGTTTCCCTTTTTCTCCACAGAGCAAGGGGCAACTCAGAAGGAACCGCACTGAAGCGCATGGGTTTCCCCCTGCGAAGGCGCCCGACCAGGAAGGTGGAGAAGTTGCCCCGATGCATCTGCAGCTTGTTCCCATTGACCTGGCTGCACGCGCTGGACACGATGATGTTGGGTCGGTCATGCTTTTTTTGGGATACCTGTCTTGGGGTTGCTTTGAGGGGAAACCAACTTCAAGTTTGGGTGCCCCCGATTTCAAGACACGCACCCATTACTTTCGTTTTTTTTGCGGGACACTTCATAGAATGGATGGACCGCTGCAACCCAATGTGCCCGCATAGGCTCGCTGAGATTGAGGCGTGAATGATGTGTGAGCAGACCTTGTCAAGGAATGGTGCCTCAGCCGTGGAAACTGGATGCATAGTTGGAGGCAGCTCGCTTGTCAGCCCCCTCGCTGAGGCTAAGCATGGCTAAGTTGCAGCTCTGTGTTGGAAGTGTCAAAGAATGTCAGAATGTAGAACACCGTTTTGGGAAAGGCAGACCTCGGGCCTGACAAAGTATCATCAAACACTTGTGTTGAGCGATCGCTTCCACGAGAGCAGCAGTTGGTTTGCTGTGGCCTTGGCCTGTCAAGTGATCCTTGTGGCAAGTCTTGTGATATGGGTGTGAATTCAAATTGGGAACCCTTTTGACGGCTCTTGCATAGTTGTGTATGCCCGTCAACCACTTTTGAAGGGGAGTCCTGCTTTGGATTCATAGCCATAGTTGCCCCCGACACCTGAAAAGCATAGTGCAAGTCTGCGCGCCAAATGCTTTGCGGACTTCAGGCCCTTTTAGCCTACCCCAAGGGTACTTTCCAAGGGCACGCCCTTTTCTGCTGATCCTGTGCCTCAACTTTCCTTCCAAGAAACGCCTTGAGTTTGCATGGCAGGTGGTGCAAAATGAGCACATTCCGACAACGGAACTGTCTGCTGGTACAGTCACGCTCAGGACTCCACGTCATGCGACACTACCACAACAGTCACCATTCTCGCTGGATCATCCTGCGCAGCCGGCCTACAAATACGCACCGTGCAACATGTTGAAGCGCTCCCAAATGCACACAGGGCACGCCGGTCCTGCAATTGATTCACATAGTCCACCAACCAGGAAATGTGCCTTGGTCATATTCTGTCACTATGCAACTGGGGGAGACTTGTGGCTCAAGCGTGACATCCAAATGTCCCGTCGGCTCGTCCAACAGCACAACGTGCGCAGCCTGGCTCAAACCCCCCAGTGAACATCCCAATCCCCACTAAAATAGGCAAAAATGGGCGGTGCACCTGAACCCCCAGCCTGCAGCACTGCCCGTGTCAAGGCCATCTTCATACGCCAGCCCCCACTCAGCGTTCTGATGGGCTGATGCATCCTCACACAAAGATCTATCTTGGCTGCCATGCTCATGCAGCCCACTCAACCTGAGGCCATTAGGCCATGGGTCAAAATCCCGTACCCCCTGTGAACATCCCAATCCCCACTACAATAACTAAAAGGGGTGGTCGTGCACCTACCAACCAAAATGGGATCCCAAAACGGTTTTGACACCACGGCCATCTGCACCATCTGCACGCCGGCCTTGCGCCCTCTTCAAAGCCCATGCGCTTCAACTCTGCCACCACCTGCGAAGCGAAGCCGTGCAACTGCGCACTGCCCTGGTGGAAGACTGGAAGCAAGAAAAGCCTCTGCAAGCAACCCAAATTGCTGCCCTTCCTCAATCAGAACTGCCCTGAAATCGTCGACTTCATGATCAGAAACATGACAAACCCTCATCCCGACTCCGACCCAGAAACACCTGCGCAAAAAGGGGGAGAGAGAGAGAGAGAGAGAAGAGAGAGAAGAGAGAGAAGAGAGAGAAGAGAGAGAAGAGAGAGAAGAGAGAGAAGAGAGAGAAGAGAGAGAAGAGAGAGAAGAGAGAGAAGAGAGAGAAGAGAGAAGAGAGAGAGAGAGAGAGAGAGAGAGAGAGAGAGAGAGAGAAGAGAGAAAGAGAGAGAGAGAAAGAGAGAAAGAGAGAAAGAGAGAAAGAGAGAAAGAGAGAAAGAGAGAAAGAGAGAAAGAGAGAAAGAGAGAAAGAGAGAAAGAGAGAAAGAGAGAAAGAGAGAAAGAGAGAAAGAGAGAGAAAAGAGAGAGAAGCGACAGAGATTCTTGGGTGTGGATGGCATTTAAACAAAACCGAAGAAAAACACCCGTTTGATTGGGTTCCATATCCAATGAGACACAGCCTCGTGCTGCTGGCGAAGTGTGCATATTGCTGGATCGGCCATCAAGAAGTCCAGCGCAGACATATCGCAATCAGGTGCTCGTTCTCCTACCTCAGCGGCCCATTGCACCAGATCAGGAATGGGCGGCTTCTAAGTCGGTTTCACCAAAAGCTGCTTTCAAAAGCCAAAAGCTTCCAGAATCCTCCAAAAGCACCCTCTTCCAAAAGCGTGAAAGCCCTTTTCAGGTCGGAAACAAAAGCCGGCTCACACGTGAAAAGCATCCTCTTCATGGCTGTGGCTCAAAAAACCGGTACCAAAATGGGTTGCCCTGTGGAAACATGGACCAAAGCCGGAGCCAGCCCCTCCGATCGCTTAATTTTGAGCCACCTCGGGACGCTTCGACGAAGCGAAAGCCATCGAGTCCCGGGACCCGGGCGCCGTGCTCCACGAGGGACGTGCGGAGCTCCGAGGCCTCGAAGGATCGAAGCCCGCGGGCATCGAAGCCCTCAGACACGCCTACGCGGCCTTTTTTTGGGATCCACCCCGGCAAAATATTAAAAGAGTACTAAAAAGGAAAAAAAGAGAGAAGCCTCAGGGGGAAGAGCCGGTGAAACCCAGACAAAGCGAACTCGTGGTTGTTTTCCGCCCATGAAGCCAAGGAAAAGCTGCTAGCCCGATATTCTGGCTTGGCTAAGAAGTGGCAAGGAAAAAACTCTGGCCTTCAAGTAAAGACACATCCCCCAATCTGTATCTGAAAATGAGAAGCTCTTCTGGAATCACTCGCTGTCATCCCGTCAAACCTTCCTTACACATGCGCACCGGAAATGTCAGACACAGCTCCTGCTCGAATGCACTTTGTGCCGTCAGCGGAAAAAAACATGCGCCAAAATCACTGATGCACATGAAAATCATGGAAAAACTGGACATGTCAGGCCACACTCCGTATTCGCGCTGGTCTCACTGCAGAGCCACGACGTACTGAGACTGGACGACGTGTTGCCTGTCAACCAGGATGCGGGAGCCGTGGGGATATAAATCCGAATGCATGCCATAAGTCCCCTTCATCTGCTTGCAAAGGTTGTCGAAAGACTCCGGAGATACCTGGTGGCAAACCTTGTCCACGTGCCACGAGATCGCGTAGGGCGAGCACACGGAATTGTAGGAAGGTCCCAGTGGTTGAGCCTGAGTACGTCACAGAGGCGGTGTGGCCAACAACGGTCCAGCCATGCAGCATGTCATCAACAGTGGCTGCGCCGTTCACAATCTGGAAGATCTGAGCTTGCACCACGATCATTGGGTTCAAGAGGCCACGGCCATTCGCCGCACCTCCCAAGCCATCTGCCAGATTGTCGGCATTGACGTCATCCGTGTCATTGGCATCCATGCCGGCAGAGGAGTGGACATAGTGAATCTCGTAGGACTTGCCCACTTCTACCTTACCCTTGCACTGGAAAGTGTAGGCTTGCGGCTGGGTGCTGTTCAGGCTGAGCCTGGTCGCACCGCGCCCCCTGGTGGCGCTTCGCTCAAGCGCCGGGCAGTGTCCAAGGCCTGTGAGTCCGTTCCGTCGGAGTAGGCGTCCGACTTGTGCTCTGCGCCGTAGTGGAAGTGAACATTCACGAGCGGCAGCGAATTTGCCTGCGAGTCGGTGAGGGTGATGGCTTTTGGCCATTGGTGGTCAGGTCACGCGGCGTCTGGGGCCCTGCCATGGAGCATGCCGGCTTCTGGAAGTTGTAGGTGCAGGTCGGCGCGCCCGGGTACGTGCCCAGCTCCATTGTCGTGGTTCCGCAGCACTGGTTCGTCTTGTAGAAGTCCTTGACGTCACCGCAGGTGAGCCCAGCCGTCAGCAAGGCCCACGACTTTGCGAGTCCCGGCTGGGCCAAGGCCAGCGCGAGAACATCACGGGGTCGTTGTCAAGGTCGGCCTCAACATCGGGGCACACATCTCCTGCCACCAACCGCAGCCCGCCAAGCAGCAGCAGCGAGCCAATCATCCGGGCCATGAGATACAAGTAGTAGTGTCACAGCGAGCGGGCCAAGGCTTGAGACCAAAATCTTGAGTATGCGTCAAGATAGCCGCCTGATCAGAGTACCCGCTGCAAAGCACTGACACTGGGCTTGAGTGTCAGACAGGGGGGAAGCCAGTCACGCGGCGGTCATGAATGGCGCGCAGCAGCGTGCCTGGGGGTTTGGTCGGGCTTTCGGAGTCCGCAACCCAGAGTGCTCCTCTCTCTCTCTTTCTCTCTTTCTCTCTTTCTCTCTTTCTCCCTTTCTCTCTTGCTCTCTTCCTCTCTTTCTCTCTTTCTCTCTTTCTCTCTTTCTCTCTTCCTCTCTTTCTCTCTTTCTCCCTTTCTCTCTTTCTCTCTTCCTCTCTTTCT